TTTTATGATCTAGAGCATTATAGTTCTTCTCCCTTATGACAGGATTCATGAAGTTCTCTGGTTGACTGCTTAGGAGGAGGTTTATTAATTGTCTAACTTCTACCAAGCAACTTCGAAAGCTATCGTCCTTGTAAACCTCACTCAGCCCAGTACTATCAAACCTCTCATCAGCAAAAGACTCCAACGCTTTCAAATCGTGGTTGATGCTCATTACTGCATTAACATTGAATCTCTTTATTGAGTCACTCAGAAAAGTTGACACAATTGAATTGGAGATATGCTCCAGAGCTCCAATCCCAACTTTATACAAAGCATCCAGAGGTAAAATTTGTTGAGCAGTAGACAAGAGGGTGTCGAGATATATAACCACCTCGTTCATGCATTCGTTCCCTTGCTGTGGGGCATCCTCTGCTGTCCAATGGACATTTTCTGTGAGTGACATGAACTCATCCAGTTTTGCATTAACTAAGCTTAGTAATGCAATATAAGCAGCATCTCTTGAAGTCTTGAGGACAATCTTGGCGGTTAAACTGCCTTGAGGCCTTTCAACTAAACGGACAGGAATGCCACATTGTTGGGCTGCATGTTGAAGAAAGAAATCACAAGCCCTTTCAAAAACAGCTATATTTGCAGCAATTTGCATTGCCTGAGACACACCAGTTGTACCACTGTAGATAGTCTCAAGTAGGACTTCATTCAGTACATCAATCAAGAGCTTATCCAAATACTTCTTGACAAAATCAAAAAAATTCATTTGGCTCCCATAGGATAAGTAATTGACAGAATCTTTGATGAATGACTTAACGATGCGACAGCATTCCGGAACCATGGAAGAGAATGGAGAAATAAAAGGGAAAGCTGGCATTATATCAGAGGTTTGTAGATGGAACAATAAAACATTTGCCTGATAATCTGACTCCCTCTTCATAACCATCTGCTCAAATGTATCATTGGTGACTATAGCAGTTATTTGTTGCCTACACTCTGCCAAAAGAAGTTCATGGTATTTTTCTCGACTACTATTTAGAGTCCCAAGAATCGCGCTCACTTCATAGCCATATTGTCTGAGGGTTGACCCAAGAAGAGTCACATAATCCTTGACCATGAGAAGATGACTGGCACTATCCATGTGGGAGAACTGTTCTTCCAAGAGGGCAGTCACTTTACCTACAGCTGTTTCCCACATTGTCTCAACCTGATTAGGCAAGAGCAGACCACCAGCAGTCCTTAATACTCGATCCTCAACAATAAAATAACCTGCAATCTGTGCCAAGAAGATTTGATGGGATTCTATGAATGGTTGTGACAATGAAATCTGCAAATCTGAACTCAGCTGCAATAAGCGATTCTTATAGTAATATTCACGAAACTGCTCTTGGATCCCCATACAACCATGAATGTGACATGCTCGATAAAGAGGCGTCAGGTCAAACTTTAAGACAGATTCTTCATTAATCTCCTCAACATCTAGGGTATAAGTGAAGTCTCCTAACCCCAAACAACTTTGTTCCTCGGCTTTTCTTTGACGGGCTAGCATATCCTCATCCCTTTGACGAGCAGATGCAGCATATCCTATTGCAGTTTGCCCAATATCCTTTGCTGTACTCCTTATGTGAACTAGCCATTCATTAATTTCACTGGTTACTCTCTTCTCAATATGCAATTTAATCAGTGGTATTCTCTTCTCTATCATAGTCCTGAGTGGCTTGACGGGAATGTTCTGCAAATAACTTTTTTCAATCAGATCAATAGCCTTGATAGCAGGGTAAAACCGACCTTCAGAAACGTGGTTGTTACACTTTGCACAAAGTTCTAAAACTTGGACACAGTTGCCTGACATCTTAATTGCTTCTGTAACATTTTTCTTAATTGAAAAAGTTTCAAGAAGTTCTTCAAGTTTTAAGAGAAGGACACTCCCGACATCTTGCAGCTTCAGATTATCAGTTTGCAACTCAGCCTTTAACTCTTCTGCATCAACCAAGACTCCACGCAGCTCATCGACTGCAATAATAAATTCCTCATAGTGAAGCTTACATAGCTCTTCTATTTCAACTTCTTTCTTTTTGACGACATTCTTAAGTTGCTGTAGAAGGGCATCAGGCTTCCCACTTTCAAAAGCAAGCCTGACCATAGGACCTAGATCTTCCCCATTACTGATCATAGTCACAAGAACGGAATCTTCTGCTGTAGTTGTGTCACCATTTTCTGTGGCCGTTCTCCTCCTGGTTTTAGCAGTCATGGTTACTACCTTGCCCTGCATATGTATATTCAAGACACTTCAGTCAGTGTGTGTCTAAGTTCACATACAGTAGAAAAATAAGTCCCTCCCCGCGAAGACAAAGGAAAAGGAAAAAGAGTAAAAAAGAAAAGGTACATCTTAATTTATTTCCAAAACACTGGAGAAGGAAACAATTCCGACATTTAAATCATCCATCCATTCATCTCCCTTCACTCGTTTAACCAGCCAACAACAAAATGGAAGGGAGATAATTTAAGCTTCACCCAAACTATTACATTGTTCCATGAACACCAGGAAATGTTTCCTACAATTATACGTGCATCTCTGCACAACTAACACTAGAATTCAAGTTCATTCCAGTTTCACCAAACCGCCAAAAAAGGGGTCCCAAACAACAAGGCCAAAAACACACAAAAAAAAGTCAAAACTCCACCAAAGTAAGAAGCTCGAAGAACACATCATCTGCGAAACAACTCGTACGAATTCACAAATCCACAATTCAAAAGCAAAGTGTTTAACATTGATGCAAAACTAGATCATTTCAAACATTAACCAAAGCAACCCACCAAAATCATCCGATCACAAAGACTGAACCAGGATACCTCTAATAGGATTACATAACAAACATCACCAGTGTAAAAAATGAACAAAAAACAAACAAATAACCAACCAATGCTATAATTCTCTACTTTATATTAACCATTAACCAAGCAAATAACAGATACACCAAAACCATCAAAAATCAACAAATCACCCAAAATCTGAACATATCAACCTCATCTCAAACCAATAATCACAAATAGAAAAACAAGCAAATAAGCTGCAAAAAGAAAAATTAAAGCAAGTAAATAGTAAATACACCAAAAATCATCAAATTTCAACAAATAACCCAAAATCTGAACATAAACACACTCATCACAAACAGAACAAACAAGAAAACAAGCAACAACTCCATTAACAACAAAAATAACACATAAAGTTTGCAACTTTAACACAAAATTGAGCAAAAAAAACACTAAAACACACCTAGATCATCATACCATAAACAATACACCAAAAAAACCCAAATGGGTCTGCATTATACACCTCACCCATGATGCAAAAACATGAAAACCAACAAAAAATGAAGCTAAAAATGGAATAAAGATTCAGTAACTTACCCAAAAGAAGTAATTTCAGAAAGTTTTATGCTTTCCCCTTTTCTTTTCTTGATATAAAAATTGAATCTTTGGCTTAGATTTTGTACCTTGTGATTTCCTTCAGTGGCATTTTTTGCCGACCAACACAATGTTACTCTGTTTTCTCAGATGTTCTTTAGGTTTGATTTGAGAATAATAATAAATAAATATTTTTTTTTCAATTATTTATTTTATTTTATTATTTATTTATATGTTTGTTACTATTTTTTTTTTGTGTTTTATTATTTGGAAAAAATCAACAAAAGGGTCAAAAAGTGTATATCAATGTCGGAATAAAACATCATCTTCCTTTGAAGGCAAGTTCCGGCACATGTTTAGGTGACATAATTAGTATTAAAAAGTTCGTTTGATCGGTGAATAAGTTACGTATAAAAAGTACTAATAATAATAAAATTGTAATATAGACGTTATGAATGTTTAAATTATAGTATATAATGAACATTTTAAAATGCAATATGAATTATTACAGTAGATATTGCCATTCTGAATTAATAATTTCAGATTTAAATTTTTAGAAATGAAATATCTATTGTTGAGAGCGTTGATTCAGAAGTCAGTCTTATAATATATTAATTTAAAATTTAATTATATTTTGTTACGACTATTATAATATTGAATGAGAATTAAACATATATAGATGTTATGAATATTTAAATTATAGTATATAATGAACATTTTAAAATACAATATAAATTATTACGAGAGATATTGCCATTCCGAATTAGTGGTTTCAGATTTAAGTTTTTAAAAATGAAATATTTATTGTTGAGAGCGTTGATTCAAAAGTCAATCTTATAGTATACTAATTTAAAATTTAGTTATATTCTGTTACGACTATTATAATGACGAACGAGAATTAAACATAAAATATTTTCATAGAATTATAATTATTGTACAAATTGTTGATGCAAACAATATTTTTTAATTATTGTACGAAAATTAAGAATGAAGTAATTGCTATATTTGGATTACTTTACCTATGAATTGTATACTAATATTTTAAAATAGTTTAATTCCCATATTGTCAATATATTTCATTTTATTTAATAAAAACATACAAATATTTATGCATAACACCAACCAAACTTCTTATATTACTACATTCTATTCTTACTTTTTTCTTTCCTTCAAAAATCCTTTAAATTTGGTGAATTTAGAGATATTCCAAAACATTTCGATATATTATATTTTGATTTTTGATATATCTTTTAATGTCCTGATACACAGAGTTCTCAGTTTCAGATAAATTACAAAATGTTCTATTAAATTACATAAAATATATATTTAATCGATATTTTGTATAAAATAACATTTCAATATATCGCACATATTTCGATATATCACATACATTGATGTACTCGATTGATACATCGCGTAGAGTGATGTATCCAATTAATACATCACGTAAAATAACTTTTTTTTTTAATTATTTTTCAAATGATAGAAAATTTTAGAAAATATAATAAAATAAATCGTATAGTTAATTAATTTTTCCATATAGCCAAACAAATCACATATCCTATGCATTTTTTTTTATATTGAGATTAATTATTACAATATAACATAAATTAATAGACCATGTTTAGAATAAATTATTCAGTTTTAATGGAGGGATGATTACAAAGTCGATGAAAATGTCTCATTTGGGCGTAGAAAAATTGTAGAAAATTATGAACGATGCCAAGGAAGCCTCTTCTTCAATCAGTAATTTCTCTAATGAATTTCAAAGTTCACAACAAATGGATTGGGTAAATATCAAGAAAAATTCAATCCCTCTTTTACTTTTATGCTTCAATAGTTATCTGCCCTTTGCTATTTTGTTATCGTATTATTCTTGCAATCCTGGCTTTTAAGTCGAGAATCTATTAAAAAACAACCTTGTTATATAAAAAGGTAGAGATAAATTTTGTGTACGTCTGATTTTCCGAATCATACTAGCTACGTTGTTGTTGTAAAGTTTGAATCTTTATGTATTAGGTGGGTACTGTTTTAATCAGCTTAGGATTCAAGGTTCTGTAATGGGTCAGCTGATTACTGAAGATGTGAAGTTTTTATCTTTAGTAGAATTTGTTTGCTCATGTAAAGTTTGAATCTTTACAAGTTGGGCTTTTTGAATCAGCTTAGAGTTCAAGATTCTCTAATGGGGCAACTGATTACTGAAAATGTAAAGTTTTTAGCTTCTGTAGTCATTTTTGCACATGTAAAGTTTGAATCTTTACAAGTTGGAGCTTAGAATTCAAGATTCTTTAATGGGGTAACTGATTACTGAAAATGTAAAGTTTTTAGCTTCAGTAGTCATTTTTGCAAATGTAAAGTTTGAATCTTTACAAGTTGGAGCTTAGAATTCAAGATTCTTTAATGGGGTAACTGATTACTGAAAATGTATAGATTTTTGCTTCATTAGTAATTTTACACATGTAAAGTTTGATTTACAAGTAGTTTGCTGTTTTAATCAGCTTAGAATTCAAGATTCTCCAATGGGGTAACTGATTATTGAAGATGTAATGTTTTTTGCTTCAGTAGTAATTTATGTACATGTAAAGGTTATCTTTACAAGTTGGATACTTTTTTACTCAGCTCAGGGTTCAAGATTCTCTAAAGGGGAAATTGATTACTGAAGATGACTTCAAATGGAGATTGCCCACAAGAGAAAAAGAAGGAAGTTGTGAAATATTGAAGTATGTTGGTGGGGTTGACTTAAGTTTTTCAAAAGATGATTCATCTATTGCCTGTGGCACTCTTGTTGTGTTGGACTTGACGACTCAGAAAGTTGTTTATGAAGATTCGTCTATTGTTAGGCTTCACATTCCATATCTTCCTGGCTTCCTTGCTTTCAGAGAGGTCTTATACATATTCTCTATATTATCCGTTGCTCGCAATGTGTTTTGACTTATCGCCTTTGTTGTTTGTCTAAAAAGGAGGGATCATGTCTATATGTTTTGAATAATGTAAACTGATATCTGTAATATTGAACTGGTTCTTTAGGCTCCTGTGCTTCTGGAACTTTTGGATAAAATGAAGAACAATGCTCATTGTTTCTACCCGCAGGTAAATGTTGATAACTTTCCTCCTTCGTTGCTCCCCTCTCCCTACTTATTTTCAGTCTACAAATGGTGAAACATTGATCAAGAGTGTATACCATGTAGTAAAAGAACTGTAGAGCTGCAATCGTCTCCTGGAAAGACATTGTATAGTATTCGGCAGGTTAGACCAACTCTACACCTTCCGCATACCATCAGTATTCTGCTTCACACTGAACCCGTTCCCGATTATAGGCAGGAAGTTTGACCTCATCTGCTAACTCAAATAGATGAAGCACATTGTATTACTCTATCTACTATGATGTACTCAAGAGGGCAAAAGGCACAATTTTGGTAAAACAATATAAGAATAATGTTGAAGTTGTACAAACGGAAGCCTCATTTGGCAGTGTAACAGGACCAAAACATCTAAGAGTTAGTGGTTGTATTTAGTTTTACGGGCATTTAAGTGGAACTTTGACTTCCAATATAGATGCCGCTAAGGGTTTATGTTACAAAACTTGCTCTCACTGGTAATTCTAATTCTTCCCCCTTCCCTTTTCGCTTATATCGAACCTGTAGTAGGAACCAACAGACATTATTGAGCTGGACAACGTAAAATCTAATACCTGACATCGATTTTAACCTTCGTGTTGACAGCTACTAATGGTTGATGGCAATGGATTGCTTCATCCTCGAGGCAAGTTTTGTTTCTATTTGAAGCTGGAAAAAAGAGAATTCCTAAGTCTAGCAGATTGTTTAGTAGATACCAACATCCAACATCATGATCATATTCTCCTAACTTGTGTCTGTGTCGAAGTAATTACTAGTAACTTTTATTCCCAAAGCTTATTCTATGAAAAATGTATATTAGTGTAAATAGCTTAGGTAATCCCCCAGACACGAAAACTGAGTTTTCCAATCTCTTGATACCATTTTAGCTTTTTATATCCTCTATAGCGTATATCAGCTAGTTGGTTCTCGGATATTGACTGTAAATGTTAATTCTCTTTGGATATTTCTCTATTTTATATCTCTCTTCTTATATATTTGCTGCTAATGCTTTTTCCGAACAGACGAGATCTGAAATGTAATTCGTTCTCAGCTGACGTAATACTGAAGCTCCATTAATCATTCTCTAAGACTTTCCACTACATGTCGAGATCAATGTGCTTAATCTATGACACTAAGTTGACACTGTCATATTTGTGTTATCAGAAGGAATTGCTTTCTGCTAATCGGGATCTTTTTTATCCCGATAATAATTTGACTGGATTAAAGAACACAATCATTTGTTGGTTCTAAAGTTGGTGCTATGAGTAGTTTCACAACCTTCCAAATCAAGTTAACAAGGGTCTGAACTGTTTGAATGTGAAGTTCTGCCATGGCTTTGTAAAGATATTTCAGCTTTAATCATCCCCTTGATATAACTTACGATTAAGTTCCTCTTAGATGCTCTTTGGGAAAACTGTTCATGAAAACTAGAAAGTTTGGCTTCACTGACTAGTTTTATCTGTATCGCTTGTTGAATCACTGACTGTTCAACTCGAGAGAGTTTTTTATATATGATAGCATATGGACATGGGTAATCTTTATCAATTTAAACTCGTGATTGAGTATGCAATACGAATTCCTCCTGCACTATTTCACACTTCTTTTTGCTAAAAACTCTACAACCACATTATGTTCTGCAGGTTTTGGTTTGGCTTGTCATATTGGTGTCTTAGCTGATCTTCCTACTGTTGGGGTGGGAAAGAATGTAAGTCTAAACTTCTTTATCCACCTCTTAAAAATCTAGGTAGACTCAATCGAAACGTGCTTTTGTTTGTTCGCTCTTAGTGAAGAAACAAAAAGCGAACCTAATGTGGGAAGGAAATATAGAACGTTGTTTGATCTTTCTCGTTGAATCTCTAACGACAACATACCCAATGTAATCCGTCAAGGGGGGTCTACGGTTGGTGGAGTGTACACAAACCTTACCCTTACCTCGTGGAGGTAGAGAGGCTGTTTCTGAAAGATTGGACACTACTCTGTGCAGGATACTGAACTGGCGAACATCTCCTAGTATTCTGCCTGTCCTGCTAACGCGGGATGCTTTGTGCATTTGACTTGCCACTTTTTCTCTACTTATACATAGCCTTAGCTCGATATTGAATTATTTCTGTATGACTAGTTTTGCAACAGTTGTGAACTGGTTTATGAACATTCTGTCTTTCTGTCTTTTCTTTTTCTAGTTACACCACGTTGATGGTCTTACACAATCTACGGTAAGAGAACTCCTTCAAGCAGCAGACTCTCCCGAACATATCTTACCGCTAATTGGGGACTCTGGATGTATCTGGGGAGCGGTACGACAGTCTTTCTTTATCCTTGAAATATGTTAACAACAACGACTATCCCTCAGTCTCAAACAAGTTGGCCAAATTATTCCAGAAATGAAAAATGAGTTGTAACTTTGTGTTGGCTCGATTACGTGTGAATTTTACTGTAGTATCTATTCTATTCCATCACAAGCTTCGTATGTTGATTAAATCCTCTTGCAGGCAATGCGATCATCTGAGGGCTCTTTGAAGCCCATATTTATTTCAGTTGGTCACCGTATATCTCTCGCCAGTGCCATTGCAATTGTGAGGATGACTTGCAAATTTCGTGTTCCAGAGCCCATCCGGCAGGTTAGTGTTAGAACTTTACCGCATAGTTGCTGCTGCTGATGTCTGATTTATATTTCTTCACTCTCATCGGAAACGGTCTCTCTACCTCACCTATGAGGTAGAGATAAAGGTCTGCATACACTTTACGACCTCACTGTGTGGGACTACACTGGGTATGTAGTCGTTGTTGTTGTCATTCTTTTACATCTGATGTTGTAGGCTGATATAAGATCGAGGGAGCGCCTGCGGAACAATCAATGATTATGTACACAATCGTTTCTCTGTATATTTGCTGAGTTTTGGTGAACTATGAGTACCATGGAAATTTCTGTAATATTTCATAAACTTGACTATAAGAATCTGGTATTGGTAGGTGTATTTTTTGCTATGTTTGCTCCTACTCTTTTAAAATATCGATGTTTGCGTGTCGGATCCTCAGCTCCAAAGGTAATGCAATTTTGGAGGATTCAACATAAGTACAACAACATTTTAGAAAAATCCGAGCAAAATAGTTGATAAATGTTCCAATAATATTTTGATGAACCTAGCATATTGGAGGTATTTATTCACAATTCTTTTGTAGGCATATATATCCTTTATACTTTACTTCAACTGATATTTATACTCCAACTTTAAATGTATGTAAAGTATACTTAAACTTGTATAAAATTGAGCTAGTAGACACAGTTCTATGTGTATTATACGTAGGACGCCACATAGGATATAGAACGCCACGTAGGACAAAAAATGCTATATAGAACGCCACGTAAGATGGATGCGTCTATTTATTTAATTTTGTATATGTTAATGTGTCTATTTGTGTATATCCAAAGTTAGATGACAGATGTCAGATGAAATCAAGTTGAAGAGCAGATTTATGTATTATGCCTCTAATTATGGAATCATAAATGTTAGTCCTATAAACTAGTTAATCATTGTTTTCATGTTCAAATCAAGCAGTGATAAAAGTCATTCATGATCAATTGTTCGAAATGACATATTTTATTTTACGAAAGTTAATTTTATAATCTTCAGAGTTATGAATTAGATTAGTTTAATAATTTTTGAAAATTTAGATGCTTGAAATTACATGAAATTAATTTTTTTCCCAATAATATATAATAATAAAATACATCTTAAAATGTTGATAAAAAACTTATAGTTTAAATTTGGAGAAGCGAATATAACAAGTAAAAATCATCGAAGAAATAGTAGATTCGGAGTTCCAACATTTTCATTAGATTTTACTGAATATAAACTCTAGCTTCTTCCAAGTTCCGACTTTATTTATAAGATTTTACCGAATATATTATTATCGTTTTTAGTACTTTATTCCCGACTCACCTTTTTTGACCAGTCCCTCCCTATTATTCAATTCCCAATCCCTAACGAAGAAAATACAAATCGATCTCCATTTCCTCCATCTCTCTTCAAGCTCTAATTTTGAAGCTTTAATGGAGTCGTCGTCGTCATCACCAGCTTCACGAGAACTGGATGAGGTACAAACAGATCTTCCTTCATCTGTAAGATCCGCTTCGAGAATCAGAGCTCCGAATAATATGGTTATGGGGAAACATCGTCTTGCTGCTGCAATTTCTGCTCTCAATCAACAAATCAACATCATTCAGGTCATTATTTCAATATTTACTGGGTTTTGAGCTTTTTTTTCTTTCTTCTTCTTCGTAATTTGGGGATTTTTTTTTTGTTATTTTAGGAAGAATTGGATCAGCTTGACTCGTTTGGTGAAGCTTCACTCGTTTGCAGAGAGTAAGTTTTTCGTATAACTTATTGTTTCTTCCATTTCAATTTTGAAAGTTTACTAGTCATAATAAATCATCGATTTTAACGTGTTCTATATGACATAATACAAATCAGTTCAAATGTATGTCATGTGAATTGCTATGTAGTAAGCATTTGTCGTAAAATTTTACGTAAGTTTAAGTGTGTGCTTATGCATATTTAAAGTTCGAGAATGTAACTGTCAGTTTGAGGTTGTTAAAAGAGCACATTGGTGATGATGATGATGATGACGACGTGTGTGTTAGAATTGGAGTGCTAAAAGAAGAATATGCAAAACTCTTTCGGGGTGGCTCATTGATTTGAGCTTGGGACTTTCATGTTGGAGATCTCAAGTTCAAAACCCCTTGCCAGCGAAAGCAAGAGGTTCACCTTTTGAGTTGAGTATGTGATTTGCGAGTTATTGCATAGAAGCGGGGTTTTTACCTTGTGCACATTCAAAGCGTAGCGGTTGCGTGTTTCTCTAAGTGGGGTAGCGGGCTATGGATTTCCCTTGTCATAAAAATAATATGCAAATTTTATGTAAGAGCTCGATGTAGTGTCTACTTGTCAAATTCAAACAATAAAACACGACATTATGAAAGCGAAATATCTCATAATAGATATACAAACTTACTAGAGTAAAAATCTTTGAATTAAAAAGAGATTTTTTTTTTATAATTAACTTAATTATTGTGTTTTATTTTGTTGCAGATTAGTTTCAAGTGTTGAGTTAATACCTGATGCTCTCCTTCCAGTGTAAGTTATTTACTTTAATTTTGCTTTCATTTTTATCATCATTATGACTTAAGAGAGTGATTTCTTCCTATTGTCTAAGTTGGGTGGACAAAATTACTCGATATCTGTATTTTGGTTAAAATTTGTATGATTATTGGTTGCAGGACTAGAGGACCAATAAATGTTCATTTAGATAGATGGTTTCATGGAGTTAACGATTCAAGACGCAACAAACGCTGGATATGAAAAAGGAATTTGTACCAAAAACTACGTAAATCAATTCGAATACCCTCTTCTTTTTTTGGTTTATTTTGTAATTAAATTTTTAAATTTCTTTGTTTTCTTGACTGCTATATTATTAGGTCTTTATATTCTATATATATCTGCTGTTGAATATTGCTGATGAAATAATGTAGGTAAGTATGTTTTGTAACTCATACACTTCCCAAGTATTAATAAAAGTGTGTTATATGCACAAAAAATTGTTTCAACTTGACAAAAAAATCGTATTTAAGTAGATAAGGATAGAAGAGACGATCCATATTATATCGAGACTGTAACTGTGGAGTTTACTGGTGACAATTCTAGATGTGACGAAGTTGATTATGAATGGTGAAATCTAGATCATGTCTATGCTTGTAAAACGTTTCTTCCTCATGGAACACATGCTTCGAGAAGTGTTGTTGCATCCTCAGTTTCCTGAGCTGTTAGAGGATGAACTCTCTAGTTGCAGCAGTTTCATCTCCTCGTAAGCCCATTCGAGACCAGGACAATAGTGAAGTGGAGGATTGAACCTGATATCATGGATTTCATCTGGCAAAAATGCACCATTTCTGATCAAGAATCTGATTGCTTTCTTCTTTCTTTCTTTAGCTGCATGATGAAGTGGAGTCCCTGCAACGAAGGAACGAGCACACAAAGAAGGTAAGGAGTAACGACATCATAGAGGATGAACAACGATTACATGAATACAGGTACGTACATCCACATACACCTCTGGTTCTTGCATCAATATCAGCACCTCTCTCGAGCAATGCATCCATAACTCGAACATGACCACCCTTAGCAGCTAGATGAAGTGGAGTCACACCAAGTGACTTAGGTCCCCGTCCCCCAGCAGTCACATTTGCATCCATGCCTTCATTAAGAAGTCTCTTGACCTGTTTCAAACATAACAAATTGAAACCAAGACAAGAATATAAACGCGCATCTCTCAGAGCTACTATCAGTATGAACTAAAACGAACAAATAGTACCTCTTTCAGGTCACCTTTTCGAGCAACAATATGAAGTAGAGTCCAACCTCGATCATCCATATAACCGCCTGTAATAATCTGCATTCGTCTCGAACCCCTACTTATATTCAATCCCTTTTCTTGCATTTTTCTTTACAAAATTCCAGCAACAGATAGTTAAAACAACCCAGAAATTCTACAGCTACTAAGACCCCAAAAAGGCGATGAAGAAAAATATTTTATTTATAAACTTTAAAGTTAGTTGAATCTTACTTCAAAGTTGTTATGTTTCTGTAACATATCTATTTATCAAATTAAACTGGGATTAGAAAACATATTCCTATATGAATTAGCACAAACAAATCCTAAAAATACATTAATTAATTAAATACGAAAAAAATCACAAATCCTAAATAACATAGGATTTTTACTTCAACTTTGAATTATTATTCCAACGAGCAATAATTTCGAAAACAAGGATTCAAACCAGGACCAAAAACACTAAGATTAAATACCAAAAAACAAACAAATATATCTAAATCCAAATTCTAAAAATGCTGAATTATATGAATCTGAAACCAATTTGGAATTCGTTTGGCGGTTTTGTATACGAACTTTTGTGCTTGAATTCTCGGTTATTGGTCGTTATGGATTCAGTTATCGGTCTGATCGTTGAGATTTGACACAATTTTTTTTTATTGAAAATCAAAAAATAAGGTGACAAACCAAAGATGTCAGAATGCATCTTGCTCAAAAACAAACATTTTCACATTGTAGATTATCGAAAGTTTGAGACAATTTAAAATAAAAGTACGAAACTAAACTCTAAGTCAATGACTTTATATACCAAATGTATAAATGTAATTATTTAATTTACTCTCGGTTAACCTGTTAAGAAATTTTTTTTAACTGTTAAAAATCGATAATCCGATAAAAAAATTAAAAACTGTAATCAAAATCGCTAAATCAATAACTCATTATCGATAAATCAGTAAAAAAATTCAGTTTGGATTATCAATTTCGGTTCGATTTTGATTAGCTCTATACCTACGACAAATATATTTAAAGTTGGAGGGCATGAATATCAATTAAAGACAAGTTTAAACGATATATTTATATATTGTGCCAATTTAATAACGTAGATACAATCCATACTAATATCTTTTATCACTATATGTATTGAGTAACTTTGTCTATTAAAGTTTAGATAAATAATAAGTATCAAGTAATTACGTTCACTAACATTTAGATAAATAAGAAAATTGTCTTAATTTCAAAATACTTCTTTTGCAACTAAATAACCCCAACAATCTTTTGTTCAGCCAGCCAAATATTAGGTAAGAAAATTTAATTTTAAGATTTCAAGCCATGTGCTTCTGACCATGTCATGTTCAACTTGCATTATTATTAATTATTATTACCTTTACCCCTACCTAGGAATGGTTCAAACATATTCTTTTACCATCATATTTTATATGTTTGAAATTGGTATAACTGATAAAATTATTGTCGTAGGCTTGTGAGTTAACCGTTTGAATGAATAGAAATAATCTCTTAACAGTATTAATGCACGATAAGTCCGTTTACAAAACATAGTTATTATTAAATCTTTGGAAAAATGTACAAATATCCTCTCTAGACTATGACTAAAATTTCAGAGACATCTTTTAACTAAACTAAGGTCTACTCCCTAACTTTTTTTTTTTTTGTAATTTTGTGTACCTTTGTCTTATGTGGCACACTTTGTGACTCCACGCAATTGAGGCGTGTGGGAGATATTTGGATGCCACATAAGCCAAAAAGGTGCACAAAAATATAAAAAAAAATAAATTCATGAGGTAATAGGACCTTAATTTAGTTAAAATGTGTCTCTGAAATTTTGATCATAGTATATATTACTTGCGCATTTTTCCTAAGATCTTTTCTTGAACTTTCCATATAAACACAAGTTTTTAGTGCGTCAAATGGTTCTATATTAATATTATTTCATATTTCAACAACTCTGTCATGTGATTCCCCTTAGTTACATTTTAAAGTAATCCGATATTTTTTTTAAAGAATTTTTTTGCAACTTCTCCATTATATGCACCTACTACATCCAAACTTTTTTTCCTCATAAAACCATTAGCTTTTCATTCTACTTCCTCCTTAGAAAAAAAAATGGAAGAAATTCAAATCGTCTCTACTTGTGTAGTTAGAGCATCTTCAAACTCAAACAATGGAATCACACACACATCACAAAATATTGAAATGACACCATGGGATTTACAATTCCTCCTTGTTGAGACCATTCAAAAAGGCCTCCTTTTCAAGAAACCAACTCCACAACAACAAAACAACTTAATCAAATCACTCAACTCTCTTTCTTTAGTTGACCATTTGAAAGCCTCGCTTTCGCGCACCTTAGACTTTTTCCCTCCACTAGCGGGGCGTTTCTCCACGACCAAAAACCCTAATGACAACACGATTACTTCATTCTCCATCACTTGTAATAACTCTGGAGCTGAGTTCACTCATGCCATCGCTCCAGAGCTAACAGTAAAGGAGATTCTTGAATCTTGTTACGTGCCAACTATAGTACATTCTTTTTTCCCACTAAACAAAGTACGTAACGTGCAATGTGTTACAAAGCCTCTACTTGGAGTACAAGTAACCGAGCTCGTAGATGGTTACTTTATCGGTTGCACTATGAGTCATAGCCTCGGGGATGGGACTTGTTTCTGGCATTTCTTTAACTCTTGGTCCGAAATAACACGTGGATTTGAGTTAATTAGTCGATTTCCAACTTTAGAAAGATGGTTCCCTCAGAACGTAAATCCACCAATTTATTTCCCTTTGGAATTGGATGATGAAAAATTAGATGTGTGTATGGAGATGCCAATAGTGAAGGAAAGGGTTTTTCATCTTAGTAAAGAAAATGTGAGTAAACTGAAAGCAAAAGCTAACTATGAAATGGATACTAAGTCCATTTCTTCTCTACAAGCTTTCTTGGCTCATCTATGGAGGTACTTTTTCTTATTTAATTTCGCGCGATTTAAAATATAATGTGCCTATTGTTTAAATTTTTATATACATATGACATGTCGGGTTATCCCACATCGGAAGCAGAAGGGGCTGGTGATCAATTTATAAGTGTGAGGGAAAGCCTCAACCTTTGAGACCTTTGAGTTAGCTTTTGGGTTGAGAAGGCCCAAGACCACCCAACAAATTGGTATCAACCCACCGTGTGAAGGGGGAGATTGTTGGGTTATCCCACATCGGAAGTGGAAGGTGCTGGTGGTCAATTTATAAGTGTGAGGGAAAGCTTTTGAGTTAGCTTTTGGGTTGAGAAGGCCCAAGACCACTCAACATGACAAACTCTACACTCTACACTTCTATGGAAAAATACCGAGTGGCTCAATAATTTATCTCAAAAGTAGGGACGTATTAAAGTTTGTTTTAGTTATACATAACTTAAACTGTAGAATTTCCTTAGACATATGAGAAAAAATCTACTATTTTGGTGTTTGCACCTAAGAAGTTACGAGGATCTATTCTGAACACAACGTCTTTTATTTATATCGTATCCTCTAATGTCAATCGTCACATCTAATTCATGCATTACGTTCTTCTAATTAGTGACTCCATCTCTAATATTTTTTCGAATAGGTGTGTTACACGTTGTAATCGTGTCAATGCCAACGAAGAAGTCATACTCAACATTGTTATAGGTACAAGAACAAGGCTAGATCCGCCTCTACCTGAAGAATACTGGGGAAATGCAGCTATCATCAAGCCAATTAAGGTAAAAGCAGGGGAATTGCTGGAAAATGGACTTGGCTATGCAGCATTGCTTATAAACAAAGTTGTTGCTTCACAAAACTACGAAGAAGTGATGGATTCATATAGACGATGGGTTGAAAACCCCGTGATAGTAAGTAAAAAATCACTTTTTGTGGCTAATAGATTGTCAATTAGTAGTTCTCCAAAATTTAACGTTTATAGTTGCGATTTTGGTTGGGGAAAACCAGTGGGAGTAAGAAGTGGAATGGCAAATAAAGACAATGGTAAAGTTACATTATTTCGTGGAGTTGAAGAAGGAAGCGTAGATATTGAAGTTTGTCTTATGACTTCAACGTTGTTAGCAATGGAGAACGATGAGGAATTCATGGAATTCATCACCGTCTAGACGAGACTATGACGGAAAAGTCACTCAACTTTAGGTTATCTAAGTATTAGGAAAGTCGAGACAAATAATATTTTTTTTTATAATGAAATATTATTTTAACTTTATCAAAAAAAGTATCACATAAAAGTCATTGGATGGTGGAATTTGCCTTGAGTCAAGTAAATCTTGGGTTGTAATGGTTTCGTACCATATTTCAAATATTAATCTTTTTTTTTTTTATAATATAATATGCTCTTTGTTTTTTTTATTTAATTCGTCCTAGTTAAGATATTTAGTATATATATATATATATATAATATTTGAATGGTGTTACTAGAATTTGGAAAATTTGAAAGAGTAACGTATTTTGTATGTTTCTTTCTGTCAATTTCATAACAAGAGGGTTCAAAAATCTAAAGAAATAGATATATAAAGTAGTTGAAGGGGGATTTGATAATTATTATATATTTAAAAATTTATTTAAATTATATATAAATAATATGATTTTATGTTGTCATTGACAATAATAACGTATTCGATGAAATTATATAATTAAAATTGAAAAATACAAAATTAAAAGTAGAGAGATTATTTTCAAAAATAGTGCAATCCGATCAATTGCATTAAGGAAATTGTATTATTATTTCTATTATATAGAAAGGTGAAGAGAGGACGATCAAGGGCATTTTTGTCAATCAAAAAAATTTCAAGCTCAGTTTAATTGTACGTTGTGCATAAAGTATTAAAATTTCCATAACAACCAACCAAAATTTATGTTATTTGCAATGTATCCACCACTAAGTCAATAGTTGTGGACAGAGGCGGAGTCTGAATTTTCGACAAGGGGTTCAAAATCTAAATAGACATACTAAATAGCCGAAGGGGATTCGACATCTACTATATATACCTAAAAAAATATTTTAATCATATATAAATAAATATAATATTCCGTCGAAGAGAGTTCGGATAGTGTAGACTCATAAAAATATTTTTATCATTCTCTTATTCACTTACTCCAGTCTTGAAACAAGTTATTAGAAATTATAGAAGACTACTCAAAAGACTCAAAGAGACTTTCTCAAAAGATTCGAATGAACTCTCCAGACTCAACTCTTAACTCTATCTTAAATTTGAGTTATGTATTCAAAGTTATTAATTGTGGTAGAAAAATTATCGTTATGATTAAATAAGTTTTAGATAGTTTATCATGATAAATGATCAAGAAAATATCGTATGAGAGTAAGTCCGCGACGCAGATATGCATTTTAATATTTGATCGCGAAATAATATATCTATGATTGTAATATTTAGCCCGTTATATATAAAAAATAATACAAATAGTAATATCATATATTATTATAACATAAGTCAGGATGGCCGAGTGGTCTAAGGCGCCAGACTCAAGTTCTGGTCTTCGTAAGAGGGCGTGGGTTCAAATCCCACTTCTGACATTTTATTTTTTAATTTGTTTTTTCTTTAAATGAAAACATAAAGTTTTTGGAATATATGTAGTACATGAAATTATGAGAAGAATAAATACTCTTTAATTATCTTAGTATTTAAGACAAACAAATTAAATTAAAAGTAATTTTTTTTAAATTTGTGTTTCTAACTCAAGATCCATTACACAGGTTAACAAAAATGTATGTGAAAAATTGTCTTGTTAGTAAATCAGAAATTGTTCTATATATATATATATATATATATATATATATATATATATATATATATATATATATATATATATATAAGCCAATAACAAAAGAAATTAACACTGCAATATTTAATTGTATAATATATTATGTGAGTTGTACTATTTATATTTTATCCACATTTACCTTCATTTTACCTTATCAACATTTAGAAATCAATTCTTATAATGTTAGGAGAACCATATTTTATAGAAAAGAAATTCAGCTATCATCTTTATTTTTTCAAATTATTTCTTGAATAAGTGTCAGTTATCACATGTCTACTATTGATATCAATGACTTAAACTTAATAACTAAGGGTTATAAATGATAACTAATGTAAAGTAGAAAAATAAACAATTAATTAGAGCTATAACAATATTCAATGATGGCTACTTTCCAAAGAAATTGGTTGCAATTGAAATTACAATAGTAAAGAACCTAACTATGCATCAATAATTTTTTTTGATGCTAATACAATTTGTAATGACAAAAAATTTACTAACATTTTGTTTAGATCATTGTTACTCATTGTTTCATAATGTATTATATTGTTTTGTACTCTATTGTATGGTAGATACAATGTTTGTTTAAACTGTATTGTTTATTGTTGTTTAATATCATTTTAATTGTTTGGTTTGACTGGATCATACTACATTGTAATTTATGAATTTACTAAAATATCTTTAATTATTTTAGGATAGGAAGTTGGACTAGATTTAAATAATTAAGACAAAGGGT